ACGTCTCTGTCACTATCACTTTCTCCCCTCTATCTCTTTTTATATATATATATATATATATATATATATATATATATATTGCTCAATAACTATCTCTCTGTGTCTTTCTCTTCTCTCTCTCTCTATATATATATCTATCTGTTTCTCATTCTCTCTCTCTACATATATATTTCAATGTATATATATACTTCTCTCTCTCTCTATATATATATATATATATATCTCTCTATCTCTCTCACGCACACGCACACACACACACACATATATATATATATATATATATATATATATATATATATCAGTCTGTCTGTCTGTCTAGAATGGGAAATGTATGATGACGCCGAAATAAATGCTAAGATGAACGTGAATCTATGTATGCTTTATTGCAGCAGTTTTCCTTAATACCCGTTCGTTACATGTGCCTGTTCGTTTTTTTCTCTCTTCTCACCAATCTTTCTACTTACTAACCTGTCTAGATTGGGTGGCCGAAGAAAGTGCAGCGTGATTAGGTGGGCATATGGCCAAAAACGAAAGAAAAAAAACAAAAACGGCGGAGATGAAACACAGTACCAGAGACAGAGTGCTTAGGGCATTGAAATTATTTAAGTGCGTTAGCACACGTGGAAACAGGAAGAACCAGAATGAGAAGAACGGAATTATCACGGAATGATACACGAGGCAACCATTTAAACAGCAGAACGCCTCGTCATCCACACACACACACACACACACACACACACACACACACACACACACACACACACACACACACACACACACACACACACACAAACACACACACACGTCTTCTTTATGCAAGTCAAGAAAAAATACTATGAACAAAACGATGTTGATCAAATTTTAAATATATACTTATGTGATAATGTGAATTTCAGATTATATTTCGCCCGGTTAACTCCATCCTACTCTTTTGAACAGGAGTAGAGGTTTATCTGTTGTTTCCTGTTTAGGATTGGGTTTCCGGTCTCTTTTTAAGTCTACTTCAAATCTATATCTCTGACGTCTCCAATTAATTATTTAATTATTTTTCCTTCTCAATAGGAGTAGATAGGTTCGCGCATCGTCCGGTTCATATACCTCCTCGGTTTTTGAACATGAATAAAGATTAATGCCTTGTTTATTTTTTACAGTGTAACCCGGATATAAGAGAGTTGTCGGGACCGGAGAAGAAGTCTCTTATATCCGGGTTTCTCTTATATCCGTGTTTGGTCTATTATATATACATTAACACAGGTTCTAATTTGGGACCAGAGAAAATCTATCTTATATCTTATATCCGGGTTTCTCTTATATCCGGGTCTCCTATATCCGGGTTACAATCTTTCCCTGTTAAAATGAATTTAGATCAGACCCGTATTAGACACTGTATGCTACATGAACTAAAAAAGTAGTCATGCAGTAGTAGAAGCGATAAGAAATATTTATTTAGTCTGTGGAGATAAAATTTAAATTGTCATGACATTCCAAAGATGGTTTGACCAGGTTTTAGCAGTACATTTTCCTCAAAGATTTCTATCAGTCTGAACGAGCAAGTTCTCTGAATACCGTTTCCGTAAGCCATATTTGTAGAAAGTCCTCAGCAAAGCACGTGAATAGTTCAGTACAAGTCACATTTTGATCTTAAAACATCTTCAAAAACTCGCTAATGTATCTAAACTTGGTCAAATTGTCACTCAGTTTAATCAAAAAGTTACTTTCTGTTCATCATGGAAGTGTAGATCTCCTGTCAAAACATTTCTGCGTAGAATTATCGCCAGTGATAAAATGTAAAGTTTTCTATAATATCCAACGAAATCGACAATCACCAGCACCTTCTGAAACTGAAAAGAAAAGTTATGTTCTTTGTGGTGGAATATCAATGATATCCTCTATCATGAACTCGAAACCAAAACCAAACGGTTAATGAAAACAATGTATTGTCAAATGGAAGCATTGCTTAAAAAATTGTACGAAAGCACTCGTCATTGGTTAATCGTAAAGGCGTGTCGCTCTTACATGATAATTACAAGACAAGACCAAGTCTTTCAAAAAATGATTATGGCGGGAAATATGTAAGTTTAGCCTTATCCTCCTACCTCTCCTTACAATTCTTCATCTGATTATCATCTTTACATATCATTGCAGCATTTTCTGAAGCGAAAATATTTTATTAATTGTGAAGAGATTAAAACTGATATTTGAGTGTTTCTTTCCCCTAAAACCTGAATAATTTTACTCCTGAGAGATCAATATTTTGCGAAATATAAAGAATAATGTCATCGATAAAGAGGAAGAATTTTATATTGTTTAAATATATCAATTAAGACCAAAAACTCTGTTACTTTTCTAACTTCAAATGGAACAGGAAACGTTGTGACAAATATGGCGACAAAGATAAGGACAATAGTCCGACTAATGTAAATACAGGACTTTTTTTGAAACTTGATGCCATTTCCTATTAGAAATATTTACAATAACTTAATAAAATAAAATATTTTCGGTTCTTAGCAATGAGTTTGCGCTCTTTTTGCACCAGGGAAATATGCAAATCATATTATTAGTGTACTTCACTTGTTAATAATAACTTTAAAAATATTATTCGTGTTGTAGCATACCTACGGACAATAATGGCTATGCCCCCATTCCCTTAAATAAACTAGTGAATACTGTACGTGGTCTCGAGTTGGAGATTCGTCTCCAGATGTGCTGGTCAAAATCTCTGCCTTCGGGCAGAGAGGATCCCCAAACGAGGTTATGTCGAAGGTGTTGTGGATTCCGAGATGAAATTCGGTCTCCAATGAATGACAAACGCAAGAATGAAATATAACAAATAAATGTATTGACGTAATAATACAATTGGTAATACGGTTAGTAGATCCAGAAACGTGGTTAGTAGCAATAATATATATATATATATATATATATATATATATATATATATATATATATATATATATATATATATAAATCCAGTCTCAAGTAGGACTTTCTTAGCGTCTACGTGCTTGTAACTGTGACTTCTATAAGCGTTTACCTCACACTATTACTCTACCTCCAACTCAATCTCAATCTCTCTCTCCTCTGACTCTGGGTATTTAACGGCAGCAGTCCAAGTACACTCTGGTCAAGTCAACTTGTATGAAAAAGGGGTGGACCCCATAACAGAAGGGCAGAGTCTCGTCTCGGGAAACAGCTATCCTTGAATTTATTGACTGTCGAAATATTTGTTTCTAATTTTCATCCCGAGTGAATCATAGGATCACCACTTTCACCTATATTAGCAGTTGAAACAGTCGAACAACTTGTTGCTTTATGTTTTATGGAATTTCCTTGTTGGTGACTTGTCTTATGCGCGGCATTAATAGACACGAGCCCTTCACACATATTTGTTTGCCAAGATTATCTATTTTAATGTTGCAGTCTCTAGTAGTTGTCTGAAGAAAGTTTTTGTTAGTCGATTCTTTTAGTTGGTTGCAACAGCGACAAGTTATTTGTTATGGTTTCAACAATGTCCGAAAAATTCTGATTTATGCTTTCCTACGGTTGGAAGGGTTTTATCATAGAGTTCCTTGTTTGACAGAACTTGATGGCACGAGATGTTAAAGGCAGCCTGTTTTCTAACGTAGACAACATTTAGTGATTTCTCCATTATGTTTGAGTTCAGATAGTTGAGCCATAGACAAAAATGGTTTCAATAGCAGCGGTGAAGAGTCCAACATTGATCTTTCGGTGAAATTTCCGATTTCCATATCTTGCCATGTTTACTCTGAGCATGCAGGGTTTTTTTGTCCGACAACAATACTTATTAAAAGTAATAATTATCTAATTGACGTGATGAACCCACTTTAAATTCTTTCAGTGAATAAGTAGTGTGCATTTATTTATTAGCAGAGAATGGATGGTTTTGGTGAATACGTTTCGGAAATTATAAATGCAGTTCACGATCGACTCCATAATCAGCTTGACAAGTCGGTGAATTGGAAAATTAAAACGCATGCAAGAAAAGAGCTATGAATTTATGGAATGATAAATAATCATTACTATACACTGAACTAATTTATTCAAAATTAGGCCGTCATCTTGGTTGTTATTGTCACACCATTTCAGTCAGTTATGTGCCATGCGTGATACACGCTTAGGCGATCATCTGTTGACCGCCTACGCGTGTATCATCTTTTCGATACATGACTGACGAGGCAGATTTTCTTCCCGCAGTAGGTTGCCATTTCTTTCTGAGGTAGACCAGTTGCCATCTAAGGCTATAGAACCCGGTCTGTTCTGCTATTTACCCATAGCTGGGGGTGGAAAAGAAGAAGATTCATACCTTTCCCGTAAGTGAATATAAATTCTAACTCGGCTCTTCGATTCCTCAATCCGAGCCGCTATCCATTAATCCACCGGTCTAAGTCATCGCATTCTGTAAATCCCCCGGAATTTTCAACGCTGTAACTATCAGAAACAAAGGGCGATACCAATTCGAATGAATCAGTGCATAATAACAAAAGGTATTTACGATAGAGTTTATAAAAACTAACAAAAACAAGAGTACTGTGCTGTTACGTAATATTACTCCTCCTGGACAATATCCTCAGAGATAAAAAAAAAAAAGACGAGAAGTAACAGAAATTTCGTTCTACAGAAGAATAATGAGAATACAATGGACCTAACATGAGAGCAGGGACGAAGTTTCAGAAAAAAATGGAAAGAAAAATGACATTTATACTTAACATCAGAAAGAGACAGTTGACGCTTCTAGGCCTGGAAAATTTGATACTCACGAGGCAGATTGAAGGTAAGAAGGACAGAGGAAAACAACACTTAACCTACCCAGCGAAATTAAGTAAATAGATGGCAGAACACGGTTTAGGAGAGATAACAAAGAAACAAAATTTATTAAGTGCTACACAGAACAAGAAAATGTGGAGAGCCATGATCGCCTACATCCTGAGTGGACACGACACACAAAGAAGAAAGTCTTATCAGCCCATAACATGTTAACCTTACGGTGATATCACGCTGAAACACCGGTTCTTGTTCGATCACCGAAGTTAAGCAACGTTAAGTCTGGTCAGTAGTCAGATTAGTGACCGTTGGGAAATACCAGATGTCAAGATGTTTATCATCACACCATGACATCTTAACAGCCACCGATATCCTGATGCTGACAATATCCTCACAGATGGAGAAGAGAGTTGAAGCATCAGCTATATGGTTCTACAGAAGGATGCTCAGAATATCATACGGTGAACATATGAGCATCGACAAGGTTTTAGAGAAAATGGAAGCAATAAAGGAGTGGAAAATGTGAAGAGCCATTATCGCTAACTTGCTGAAGGGAAAAAATTAAAAAAGGAGTAACGATTATGTTAATAGTCATATTTATTATTTTATTCTCCCAAAAATATCAATATTTGTGCAAATAAAGTAGGCCCATGAACTAAATTTAGAAAATAATTATTTGTAAATGAGAAAAATGAAAATCATTTTAGTCACGTGTTTCATTCTCAGACGGAACTTCAGACCAATAATTGTTATATATATATATATATATATATATATATATATATATATATATACATACATACAGGGTGTATCAAAATTACTTTAAAATCTTTGGGGGCGAGGAACTCGCCCCAAAACAGCAGCAATGGTTGGATGATTTGTCTACCTTCGGTCTGGAAACGGAATCTGATTCAGCCGTGCAGCCTCGCGTCCATTACCATTCGCGCGACCGTATGTAAAAATAAAAATATTCGCCTGCTCACGATATGAATATCTTGCCACTGTTAAACGGAACACTTCTCTGTTAACTTACTATTACGTTAAACGTTGAAAACAGACTAGCAACAAATGTAGGCGCATGACAAATGTAACCTAGTATACATGGAGAAAAAAAAGCGCCATCTACAGTAAGCTTTCTGTAAACTTAATAAAATTTCAGACACACTGGGTTGTATATCAATATTTATGTTTTATTTTAAATTAACTTCATCGACTAGTTTCTGTCAGCGTGGCCATCATCAAGAGAAAAAAATCCCTGCTTGTTAGTCGCAGTGAACTACAGGCATGAATGACTGTCTCTGAAGAAAGTGAAGCCTGTAGCATTCATTTCTTTTTTGTTTTTTATTTATTTATTTGTCATTAATTTTTGGTCAAAGGCTTTATTCAAGTTCTTTTAAGAAGAGGTTGAGGGACTCATGAATCTCAGATTTACCTCCTTAGCCATTTTGACAGTTTTATTGGCTGCTGGGTAGGGGATGAGTATGTTATCTTTTAGTTTTCTGGAGTGTGTGATGTGTATATGTGTATATATTTGTGTGAGTGTGTGTATGTGGAAGATCCCAGCACCTCTGCTAGCATGTCTGTCTAGTGTGGATGGGGATTAGGGGAGTCACCTTTGGCCCTTTATGGATGGTGTACTGTTCTATGTAGTAACAGTAGAGTATATTGAACTATGCAGAAATTATAATGCGTCATAGAAAAATATTGGGTGGGATTTCAGGTGCAAAATCCATTTGTCTTCATGTTCTAGTATTTTCCTAACTTCATCTTTTGTGTCTTTTGCATGGCTATTAAAATCATGTTTTTCTAGGCGGAAATGTTGTTCTACGTCTAATAATCTTTCGTGGGGAGTCAACTTAATTCGATTCCAATAATTATTGATTCTGTAGGGAAAGGGCTATTGAAATTTTCCTACATATTGTTTCTGGTATAATGTGCATTCTAATAATTGAATTATGTTATGGCTTCTACAGTTAGAGTTGTGGTAGATTTTGAAAGTGAACGTGTTAATGGGGTTAAAAACTGAGCTAGTGAACGAATATATATATATATACGCACATATATTTAATTTCGATGATCTGTCGAGAAGCGACGTTTCAACGCGATTTATCCGTAAGTACGTTTCAGGTTTAGTTCTGTTAATCTTTTACTTGAAAATTAATGAGTAAATAAATAAAAGAAAAGACTCTGTAATTAGTCAAACATTAATCAAGCAAAGTTAGTTTTAATTTTATTTAAGAAAAATGACTTTATTTATCAAGACTCAAACAGACTACTTGTTTGTAGTTAACAAACATACTAACAAGGAAATCGGATCATAATAATATAGTTAAGATAGCAATTTTAATAATTTTTAAGAATGTATCATTTTTAAACGGTTTTTCGTACACTAACTGCGTACTGTAGCTGCAGACAACGAAAAATCTGACATAGAAATCTGAAGCCACATTTGAATACCGAAAGTAGGAAATTAACAGGAGATAACTGATAACTGACATCTGTTAAACATGGTATGTGGAACTAGAACAGTCTACCCCAGTGAGCGAAATAAAGGGTTCAGTTCGACATTCCAACCACCCGAAAAAAGGCTGGAGCGTACAACGGCCGAAACGTTGGGATAAATATGGCGACATATTAATGTAAATATGGCGACAAAGATGAGGACAATAGTCCGAATAATGTAAATAAAGCAGATCTAGCAGCCATTTCAGCTTTTGATATGGCTGTAGATACAAGGACCAAAATCCCTACACCGACTTTAAGGAGTTAATTAACAAGTATATTCAAAAGGAATGGCAACGATGCTGGAAAGATAACTTACACAATAAACTCTTCGCAATTCAGCCCAAACTAGGAGAATGGAAATCGGCTTTCAGAAAATCTCGAAACGAAGAAGTAGTACTTTTTTTTTTTTAAGCGTTTCACCCCAAGCAAGGCGGGAAGCCACTAGGATGCAAGGGGTTACAGAAAATAGCAAGATCAGATAGGAGTGATAGAAGAAAGGATGAGGGTAGTGGATAGATTAAGGCAACTGGAGATGTCGATTGACATTACATTTGAATGGCTGGAAATTATAGCTCACAGGGAAACAGGAGAAGGGAAGGGAGTTCCACAGGCGAGAGGTGCGAGACATGAAGCTATTAGAGTAGAAGAGACGGCTACATTTAGGAGTTTCGACAGTGAAGGGGTGAGAGCGGGATGCCATTCTCGTAGGGCGCTGGAACTCATGACGTCTGGGAACCAGCGAATGCAGCTCCTCGGAGCAATTTCCATGAAAGTATTTGTAGAACAGACAGGGGGGGGCTACGGCGTCTGTGAGAAAGTGACTGTAGACGAGACGCCAAGGCAGGGCCAACCATATTGCATATCCGCCTCTGGAGCCTATCAAGAACCCAGAGTCAAACAGAAGGGGCGCCAGACCATATATGGCAGCAATACTCCATGCAAGGGCGAATTGTGGATTTGTATATCTGGAGGATCGCTGGTCCGCTTACGCATTGGCCACACGAGGATGACCCACTCGTACTTGCTAAACTCGGAAGATCTGCCAGTAAGGCAAGCATATGAAACGACATACACTATTAAACATATTAACTGAGTGTCCAGACCTTGCTTTCTCAAGACGAAAATGCTATAATATAGACAACATGTATGAGCTTTTCGAAAAAGCAAAAATGGATGGCATAATTGTGGTGTTCTCGCTCTAATGAGTCTATTGTGGACTTATCACACCCGGCTGGAAGTTACTGCCGGTTACTCAAATGTATAAAAGCGTCACCGCGGAAAACATAACGAATTCCGTTAACTTCCGGTGACTCAGCATTTTTCAGTCAACGACTCACGCAATCTCAAAACAAACGAAACATTTACATACACATGCCTTCCTAACCAAAAACAATTACCAGAAACTACTTTATATACACATGGTGTCCGAATGGAACCCATGTGTACAGCCAAAAAGTAGAAGGTAATTTTCAGTCATCACCCCAAATATATCGTTAACAGGCAACCTGCTTAATGCCGCAACAGACTCTTCCACTTACTATTAGTAGGAAAGTAAGCCTCGGTGAAACAGTAATATAGATTACTGATCAACCAACACATACTTCCAAGTCGTGTAATACTCTTCTGTTGTATTTACTGTTCAATACACGATTTATCTGCAACATCTTATTTTGTTATTTCTTAACCACTTACTTGGTTACAACAATAATATTTCTTAAAACAGTGGGCCTCTACCAAAAACTATAAACCAAATAAGAATGTCAATAAAAGAAACTTCTCTACAAACTGTATATCTGAAAAGAGTGCATCAATGAAACCAGACTCTCAACAAAGCCTCTTTACAAAAATACGTCAATGAAACCTGATCTCCTACAAACTGTTTTCTTACAAAGAACACATATTCTATTCATACGAATCTATTCTAAATATCTTGTCGGCATTAAATAACCCATTGAGGTTGATATGCCGTAAAACAAAACAAACCCAGAACGACATGAGTTCGTAAATAACAATATTTTTTTTTTATATGGGATGAACTTTGGAGCTCCCGTATTAATAGATAATACTTAAGTTGTACGTATATAAAAAACACGTTACACCTCGCCTACGTCACAACACTTGCTGCCTACATCACAAAATTCGCAGTCTACGTCACAACACCCACTAGTTGTACGAAACTTACTAATTGTCTCTATCCTAATGATAACTTAAGAAAGTCGAAAGTTTGGACTACATTTTTGTACTTTTTTTCTGAAATGAATTTCCGACAATTTCTGACGGAATTTCCCCCTTGTCCGAGAAGGATTATTCGTAATTTGGAAAAGCCAATCATTAAAATTAATTGACACAAAATATCTGTTATTTTTAAATAATATTTGCCTTTAAAAAATTTGCTTCCTAAATATACATAAGTTACATGTTTTTCACATTTTGTAGTATATGGCAATATACAAAATATAGGATATTCCAAAAATATATAACCTTAGTAAAATTATCATCTTTAGCAAAATAGATATATAGTCATTTACTAAGTTTAACCAAGGTCAAAAATATGGGGCTCCCAATGAGGATCGAACTCACTACTCAGTCCTAACAGATCTAGTGAGACAAGCTTGCTAAACATTATACCATATCGTAATGCCCCATGGTTGACTAATCGTACCTTAAATGTGGCTCAATGACGAAAGAATAAGACACCTAGTGAGGATCGAACGCACTATTCAGTCAAATTCATCTAGCATGCTAACCACTGAACCAAGTTAAATTGCCCTTTAAAAGTTCTAAAAAGTTACATTTTTTTTTTTAAATAATTTCTTTTACA